TACTACTACTACTACTACTACTACTACTACTACTACTACTACTACTAGTGCTGCTACTACTACTACTACAACTCACTCCGACTCCGACTCCTACTCCGACTCCTACTACTCCTACTACTCCTCCTCCTACTCCTGTTGCTGCTCGCCTTGCTCCTTGCTGCTACTTGCTGGTTACTCCTCTTCAAGCGCTACCTGTCGTCCACCTCCATCGCCTCAACTGCTTCTTGGACCCTCCACAAAGTATATTCGCATATCATGTTTGAAGGCCCAAGTCAATGTCCTGGAAATTTATCATCCATACAGTTTCATGTTTAGGCCCCAAATATGAGCTTGGTTGGTTCCATGGGCATGGCTACGTAGGTGTCGCGAAGACGCAGTCACAGCCTTGTTCGGGACTGTGAATGACTGGGCTACGAACAACCGCTAGATCGCTGAAACCGTTGGAAATTTGCCGTTGGGATCCTTCGCTGTGCGCCTGGCAAGCACAGCTCCAGTTGTATATGCGTGCGGCATCAGCTGCGCATCCTGCAGAACAGTTCCATGCTATACCCCCTCCAGGGTCCCAAGATTGGGGCTGCAAGTGGCAAGCAGTGCAGCCAGTACAAAAAACATACAATGAGTGGACAGTCGTGCGATCGAAGTCCCAAAAAACATTTTAAACATCCTGATGTGAAACTTGGAACCAAAATTATGATTTGTGCAACTTCCTTCGGCCTTCTTCGTTTTGAAACACCTTACAAAAGAATTTGACAAGCTTGAAACCGCCTAAACTTAAACACTCTCTTCCGATCCTGTATATGCCCTACGGGATGATAACATTTTGCACTTTCAGCGCGGGTGGACTTCTGCTTCAATTCGCAGCTTGCGCATTTCTGAGGTTTGCCACCATGTTCGGGCAAGCATATTCGTCCCTTCCAGCAGGACAGGGCTTACCAACAATGCATCTTGAATCTTGAGTACTAATTAATAACATGCAAACATGTGCGCAGTTAGTTTGAAACAGACTCACCCAGTGTATGTTCACTTGGCGCTCCTGTAACATTGCATTTCATGTCCACGTCGCTTGACGAGGTCTTTTTGACAACACTCCGGACCTGTTCCTCCTCAGTACGGCATTTGCCTGAGAGATCTACACATGGAAAGATGGGCCGAACTTAAGCCTATTTGAGACTTGAGGATGGAATCTAGCAAGTGTTTCTAATTGAACAGCTGTGAGGTGGTCACCGGCCTGAGCAACGCGCCCAACAGTTGGCCTGAAGGTGACATGGCAAGTGGACATTAGAGATTCAATGCTGATTAATTACAAATGAGTGATTTTGGAAGATAGAAAGGGTGCCAGCCTAGCCAGTGCCAACACTTCCAGCTATCAACCCAATTCGTTGGATGGTCGAGCAAGGAGTTCTTTTTGTGAGACACCCTTGGATCACAATTATGTTCAGCACTCACCACACGGACACGCTCTCGGTTGACGGTTTGGTTGCACATCGCGTGAACCTTCCAAGGTATTCTGGATGGCTTGACGAAATTGGAACAGTTGCACATTGCGCTGAATGGCCTTGTTTGTCCGTACACCGAGATCCCAGATGCTGTTGTGACAGGCGCATGGGAGGATAAAGGCACAGGCAAATTCTGACGGTCCTTGTTTACTCAAGAGTTGCGCGGCGGCTGGGCTCGTTGTGCTAAAAAAGATTTCAAAAGGAGTATCGGAGTATCGCTACTACTCGGTTTGGAGGGTTACGAGGGTTACGGCTTAGGAGGGTAAGAGATTTGTCTTCCCAAGTATCAGCTAGGAAAAGAAGCGTAGTGTGATCAGTTGCTGTGATTCAAGTTTCATCGGATGAAGTTGGCTAGTCGGCAAGTCAGCAGCATTATTTGGTACCTGGTACGCTTCCTTTTGTGGTGTGATGTGAAAAGGTATTTTGCTTCAAGAACAGATGGGTATTAGAAAGGCTTTCCGAGGAAAGTAGGTCAGAAACCTCGGAGCGGTCTTGCACAGCAAAGGCTTGAAGAACATGAAGGAGCTGAGAGGATTTGTGATTTGGGGCTGCCAAGAGATTACATCTTTGCCAAAGAACCTCTTCAAGCAGAACACAAAGTTGGAGGCACAGAGGGAAATTCTCCAAGAACTCTTTGAGGACACGACTATGACCCTCCAACTTTTCCTGTTTGCAAGCGATGTGTGAAGCCCGAGACCTTCTGAGAGACAGAGCGGAGTCATGAGTCGTTTTGGAAGCATCTCCCATTTTGACAGGTGGTATACCTCTTCAACAATGGCATTACCAGCTTTGATGAGAACCTCTTTGCAACTACGTGCCTCAGAGTCTGCAAGAGCGACAGAGAATAGGTCACTAGGTGTACATCATTGTACGTTCTTCGTGTTGAGTAGTCTTCGCTTGAGCAGTCATACGCGCTACAGTAAGCAGGAGTGAAGCATCTTCAGGCTCTTCATTTCGAATTCGATCGAGAATCGTTCCCTTCATTGCATGGGCCTTGGGAGAAGTTGATAGCCATATTTGAGAGACTGGAGCGGTATTGGGCTTGAGAGACCTAAAAATTGAACGACTGAAGCCATCCTAACTTTTGGTTCAGGTGGGAGAGAGCTGCCTTCTACTTAAGTATATTTTGTCTTGTTGTGCAACTTAGACCATAGCACAAATCGGTCTCAGTCCATCCACTCAGGTTTGTCAATCCTTGGATATAAAGCTGACTTTAAACTACAGAACAATTTGATCTTTCACAACCGGCACAGGGACGGAGGCCTCAAGATTCTTGCGGTTGATTACAACAATCACAGCCTTGACTGTGCATATGCCATGCGCTGGGGCAGCCTTTATCCAGGAGTTGGTAGCTTTGCTTGAACTTTTGGCACTCACTTTTGAATTTTTTGTTTGATATCGAGATAGCCCTGGGTGACATTCAAAGGCAATACAGTATGTGAATCCTGCCACAAGTGCAAGAATGTGCGGAGCTTTTGTCACACCTTAGATGACGCTGTCCTGGCCAATGAGCAAGAGTCCGCTTGCTATGATCGATGCACCTCAGCTTGGATTTGGCCGCTGTCGGAGTTGCAATAGCATGCCTTGGAAAGCTGGCATGGCAGATTTGAGATGTTTTGAATTGTTTTGAGATCCAGTCGTGAAGTGCCTGAATGCAGGAAAGGGCATCCATTTTCCATCCCCTTGATTGCTTCAACCATGATCCAAACGCACTTGTTTAACACTAAGAGCAGCTGCTCTTGATTCAACGTGGGTTGTGACAGGTGTTGAGCAAAACACACACTTGGGAAAGGATTTGTTCGATTGGAATGCCACATGGAAACCTCGGTGAAACAAGTTTGTGGCTAAAGAGGAGTTCAAAAAGTGCGTGACTGCCGTGCATTAGCTCTTTAGTGCGAAACACCGGAGTCGGAGGGGAACAGCTTGATCATTACTTAGGATCACGCCAGTTTCGAAGGAAGCAGTGTGTCCTCCAGCTGCTTCTTAAATACGCCATAATGGGCCCAAGAGCGACACAAAGCAGGTACAGGACACCATGTCCAGTATTCCAACCGGACACCATAGCTTTGTTAACGCGGCTAGGTGTCGCCGTGTCCCCTGCATAACAGGCCAAAAGGTTCCCTGTGACTCCGAGGGTTCACACACTTATGATTTTGCGTACTGAACTGAATGCGGTGCCACACGCCAGCCTAGGTTACCATTTCCTAAGAGTACAAGTAAGAACCAACGGATCCTGGAGGTCTTCAAAAGGAGAAGGGGCCAAAAGCGCAAGTCGAAGTCGAGAGGACAGGATGACGACGTACGTGCATGTCTGCGGAATGCAACTATAGCACTTTACGACTCACCTCTGCAAAGGTTAAAATTCAAGCAGGTACACAGAGCTGATCAGGCTCTGACTCTGCTTCCAGCACAAGTGGATCGCTTCCTTGGGTGCAGTCTCCACTGTGCTCTGCACCCCCCTGCTAAACAAATTGAAAAGTGAAAACTCAACAGTACAATCCGAATGGATCCCTGAGGGGGACACACACACGCCTCCCTGAAGGGAGGCATATTTTGTTCTAGGCTCCGGACAAGGGTGGGTCTGGTGAAAAGTAAGAAAACCGGCGAACTTCCCGGAAAGTTTGGCACGCCGTGAGCAGGAGTCTCATGGCGGGGGGAACAGGAAGTGGTGGGGAGGAACTCATTACTCTAGAGTACTAAAGCTCCGACAGGTTCCAATGAACCTTGAGCAAGCTTTGGCCGCTGCGGCCGCGTACGCCGTGCCAAAATGGCTGGCTGCTTTGACTTTGGCCCCTTCTCCTTTTGAAGACCTCCAGGATCCGTTGGCTCTCTTAGGAAATGGTAACCTAGGCTGGCGTGTGGCACCGCATTCAGTTCAGCACGCAAAATCATAAGTGTGTCTGGCTTCACGCCAGCCCAGGGTGACCCCGAGGAGTGGCCCGTGTGGACCCGTTGAACGGGTGTTTGTCGATCGTATCCCCTGCCCGGATACAAAGCTGCTCGTAGCGAGCGTAGGTGGCCTAGGCCGAGAGTACTCAGATTTTTGTCGCACTTTTGAACTCCAAGCTGGCTCATGCCTTCAGTCGAGACAACAGGATGACGACGTACGTGCATGTCTGCGGAATGCAACTAGCACTTTACGACTCACCTCTGCAATGGTTAAAATTCAAGCAGGTACACAAAGCTGATCAGGCTCTGCTTCCAGCACAAGTGGATAGCTTCGTTGGGTGCAGTCTCCACTGTGCTCTGCACCCCCTGCTAAACAAATTGAAAAGTGAAAACTCAACAGTACAATCCGAATGGATCCCTGTGACTACAAGGGGCGCACACACTTAGGATAGGGTGTACTGAACTGAAAGCGGTGCCACACGCCGGCCTAGGGTTCCAATTCCTAAGGGAACAAGTACGAACCACGGGAACCTGGAGGACTTTAAGAGGAAAGAAGGCCCAAAGCGGAAGAAACCCATCGACGATCGCGGATCAAGCAGGCTGACGACGTTCGTTCATGTCTGCCGAGTGCATTAGCCCTTTACCAAAGGTTTTAAAATTGTGCAGGTACAAGTGGTTGATCAGACCACTCATCCGCCGAAATGCCATAGCTTCGTTGGACTGGATAGGCAAATCGGCTCCAGTCCCCCTGCTACACAAGGAAAACAACTGTGAAGCGAAAACAATCCGAAAGGATCCCTATGATTCCAAGGGTTACACACACACGCCTCCCCGAGGGGAGGCAAGATTTTTAAGCTCCGCGCCATAGGTGGTGTGAGACTCTTCGTCCCCAAGTAGTGGTAAGGCCAGGAACCTCTAGTAGCGTCAAAGAAACACCTAACACCTAGTAGGAAGGCCAGGAGCCCCTAGTAGCATCCCAAGCTAAGGTGCCGACAAGTAGGGAGAGACGAGAAAAAGGAGAGAAGAGAAAAGAAGGTGTTCCCAGCTACGACGCAAGCGTCCAAGGACACACCAAAGGAGGTTCCCAGCTATGACAAAAGCATCCAGGGACACCCAAGGAGGGAGGAAGGAGAGAGAGAAGGAAAGAAAGAAAGAGAGAGGGAGAGAAAGGGAGAGGAGAGAAAAAAGAAAAAAAGGCAGGTGTTCCCAGCTACGAGCAAGCGTCCAGGGACACACCAAAGAAAGAGAGGGGTGATCCTGAGTGTTGCATTCAGGAAAACCCCAGGAAGCAAAGAAAGAAAGGGGGAAGGGAAGGGGGAGAAGGGGGCTAAGGTCGCGACAGGTTCCAATGAACCTTGAACAAACTTCGGTCGCTGCGACCACGTACGGCTTGCCCAGGGGCTGCCATCTTTGACCGCTACGGTCACGTAAAGGCATGAGCCAGCTTAGAATTCCAAAGATGGGACAAAATCATCGTACGTACGGCCTAGGCCACCTACGCTCGCTGCGAGCTGCTCTGTATCCGGGCAGTGGATACGTTCGACGTACACCCGTTCGACGGGTCCACGGGAGGCACTCTGCGGGCTCATCCCGGGTTGGCGCGAGGCCAAACACACTTAGGATAGGGTGTACTGAACTGAAAGCGGTGCCACACGCCGGCCTAGGGTTCCA